CCCAACAGACACATACTTTCTACTATTAAAATGTAATCAAGTTTTACAAGCACAAATGCTGTTTAGCAGTACAGAACCATTCTAGAGGTAGGGCAAGTTGAAAGCAAGAACAGATATTTGCCCACTTTCCAAACAAAGTGTACTTTTTAGTATTTCATGTTTTGATTTAACATCAGGATTTTTGTTGCTTCATTGATGTTTCCAGAATTCTGGTCTTAAAAACATTAATTACAATACTACCAAAACGTAACAGTACCAGTTTCATTTTTCTAAAACAGATGACGTCACAGCTGCATGCCAAAATCCCAGAACAGGGATGCCAAGTGTGACTTCAGAGGGAATGCCATAATCTGGTGCTGCACATAAAACATATACAATAACATACTTTATTAATTATGCATAAAAATGCTTACTACTTCCTTCCCAGGCTCAGTCAACTGGAAGGTGAGAAATGACAGGACATCATGATCATCTGTATTCAACAAACAAAACAAAAACATGTTACAAATCCCAGTACTTCCCAAGTCAACTTTCCACCTGCAAAGGATCTTCAAGGAACAGCACCCTCCCAAAGTCCTCCCAAGAGTCTGTGCAGTGGGGAATGAGACTGTACAGTGGTTTTGTCATGACAAACTGAAAATTATTCTGCTGTAGCCAGGAAAAGGCCTAGGCATATCAGTAATTTGGGAATGGGAGAGGATTAATTACATCATCGTGGTCCAGAACTGGTGTAATGGATCAACACTAGCAGTAGAAAAAAACTCCAACTTCTCTTGCGAGCCCTGCAAGTCCCCACACCATTTGTCCCAGTTTTAAACATTTACTACCTGCGAGTCCCCCCGTCGCTGCAGATATTCCAAAATACCCTTGTGATGGCAGCTCCATGTTTTCCACTTTTGCACACAGTTCATAGTCGTCTTTGTCCGGAGTAAAGCCATTGTTCACTGACACCTAAAGGGATAAACGCTGGAATTAACACAGGGGCCTTTGGGTTTTCACTCTGTTCAACAGTGTCCCAGTGAGGAAGCTGAGGAACACGAGCAGTTCCCCTGTCTCAGAGCACTCACAGTCAGGGTTTTTTTGTAGTAGGTGATCTTCACTCGCACGGGGTAGGGCTTGTTCCGGAAGTCCCTCAGACAGGAGGCCAAGGCTTGTGTGGCCCCGTCACTGCACACAGAAACAACCCCACCTTAGGATTTACCAGCTAAGACAAGAAAGCATCAACCTATCGCTCAGCAACATCAGGGCAGTGTTTCAATATGCAAGTTTTTCAAAGCCTGTCCCCGTAAGAGCACTGAGCTTGTCTGCAGTCTGCAATCTGCAGTACCAGGTGCTCTGCACAGGACACAGTACAGATGGGATGCAGCAATGGGGAAACCCGTTTGCTCCTAAGACACATTCCTGCATCTGGGAACAGAGGTGGAAATAAGCTGTAGTCCAGACAGCACCAACTAAGCTAGACACCTTCCTCCTCAGAGAACACAAAAAGGTGTCAGTTGTGTTGTTCACAACAAACAATCAGAAATCAAAATTAATCCAATTAGTTTTAGTAACAGGCAATTAGCTTTCAGTTAGTCACTTCTGTCAGTTATAGGCTGTGTGTGGAAGATACCTATGAGCAATGAAGAGGTAAAAAGTCTGCACCTCTATCCGAATTCACCCATCCCAAAGGACATATGCCATTTAAATATCCATCAGCTGCCCATTTCTGTGCTGTTACTGCAAAAGCAGTATTTTAATAAATAGAAAACCTCAAATATAAAGAAAGCAACAAGGTTTCCTATGAACAAAGCCTTGTTTCTCAAAGCCTTTCATGCAAAATTTCATCATTCAAAAGCAAGCATTCATCAATACCACTGAAAATAAACTTACTTCTGATGGTCATACAGAAGCTTTCCATTGTTGCCTACAACAATCACTCCAGGGTTGTTTTTCTAGAAAAAGAAATGGCAAACAAATGGAACAGTTTAATTTGAAGTGAAATATAAGTAACAACATTGACAGCCTTTCTGTGATAGAGCACCTTAAGTCGTTACACCTCAGATGTTTTACTCTTTTGGAATTTCTGAATGACACTAGCAAGCTGCATGCTCTGCCAGAGACTGACACGTTCTTTGCATAGTTAGAGGTGGGAAAAATAAATACAAGTTAAGTTCCTGGGTATACTACCAACTACCATAACTGGGCAAATGCAGAAACACGGAAGCCACAGTCTGGGGAAATTCAAACGTAGTGAAGACACAGTCCTTGAAAGTAACAGATTACTTAGAACATCCAACTTTGGATGTTTTTCCCAGTGTTATGTAGCCAAACAGACACTATGTTGACATCCTACTGACCTTGTCACAGTCATTAGAAAAACCTTAGGAGCTTTCTGTCAGAGACTAAACAAAGGCTGTTGAACACACTCCCAGTTATTTGAATTGCTAGAGGATGAAAACGAACTAAATGATAACGGAAAAAAAAATGGCAGAAGAATTTCTCCATACTGGGACTGTAGAAAGTCAGAGACTGTAATTTAAAAAAGTCTCAGACACTCCAGTACTTAAGACATGTCAGACCAATACAGGCATGACCAAGACTTCTGTTTCCATTAGAAGTGACACATCATCACTTTAGACAAAGGGTTTTACACCACACTGACTGAACTTGTCGTGGTCAGAGTCCCAGTGCTATCAGAGTTCTGGCAAGCAGTGCTGTCCATGAGAAACTTTTGGCAGATGGCATCCTCAGCCAACTAAACTATGCCACTGTCCATGTTTATGCCAGAAGTCAGGAAAAAAAAAAAAAGGAAAAGGAAAAAGGATCTAAAAATTCGTAGTAAGTTGAACAATACTCTGATTCTATGTCTTGTCTCTGAAGATCAGGAACATAAACATCACCTTCAGTCTTTCAATTTTTTATATATGATAAAGTTTGCTGTATATCAAAAGCCATCTGTAGGGGGGAAAAAAGGCACATACACCTACTAAAATATATCTAAAATGTCTAAAAGCAAGTCAAAGTCTGCAGGGAAAGCAAAAAAAGCAAAGCAGGCCTACTACGTATTATTAAAGTTTCCCAGGATCATTCTGGGCTGGAACACTGGAAATTGAAAACAACAACTGTCACTCCCATCTGCTACAGAATTTTTGCTGCTGTTCCAGAAAAAGAGCATCTCTGAAGACAGACATAGAAACTGGTGTTCCCACAGTGTTGTATTTTAGTACAATATCCCTCTTCCAAAGCACACATCTCCAGATGTACCAACATCAAAGTGTGCAGATATTCCAAATTTCGGATTATACATAGGTACATGGCATCCTCCCTCCAAACCCGACACATGAACCAATGTTCAGTGGAGATTCAGGATGTGTTATGCTTCAACTTTCAACCTTAAAAAGCAAGTGTGAAAAAGTCTAGTAAAACTTCTGTAAGGGAAACTTGTCTATTTTATTTTATCCCTTTGAAGTGAAAGATGGGAAGAGTAGGAAAATAACATCCTATTTTTTCCACAACATTAGATGTATGAAACACACCAGAAATTAGTTTATAGTCTTTACTAGAAGAGTTTACTTCCAACTAACCTTTCCATCATTGTCAAAAGAATCAAAGAAAATTCCAACACCGTTCCATTTATCAGCTGCCCCGAAAACAGGACCTTCCAAGCCTTGCTCTTCTGTAAACCAGACTGCCTATTAGGAAAGCAAGAAGAGTGGTAAGTGAAGATTCCCTTTTAAAGCAGGGCCGTTTGTTTCAGGGAGATCAGGGTGTTCATACCAGCCCATCAGCTCCAATGCGGCCTCTTCCTGTAACTCGAAAGGTCACTTCGACTTCCCAATATTCAAATATTGACTTGTTTTTCGTCCACACTGACCCTTTTTGGCTTTTCAAAGATGTTGTTATACGAATCTGATCTGCACTCGGTATGGCATCTAGAAAGGAAAGGAACCAACACTTTATGTACAAAAGAGAAAATATTGCAAGTGCTTAACTAGACAATTAACAAATCTTCCAAACTCAGAAAATTTTCTGGTCTCCTCAACTAGAAAACAGTTTTCAAAATAACTTTTTAGGCGAGTACTCAGCCACTTGGGGGCCAGGAGAACCCAAAATTAAAGTCAAATAAAAAAAACCCGAAATACACAGCAGAAGTTACTGCAGAGTAACTATAGGAAGGCAGAACCTTTTGTGCTGTAAATGTCAATACCTTCTACGTGGGGGGCCACTTAGGAGAAAAACCTTTCTGAGTAGAATGGAACCCTTAACCCGTACTGCAGAGAACACATAGCCGGTATAAACGTTGTTCAATTAAGTCGTATTTGCGAAAGCGGAATTTTCATTTCCAGCTCTCCCATGATGAAACTCAGCCCTGTTTCTGGCCGTGCCGAGGCGCGGGCGGGCTGTCCGCGGTGCAGCGCGGCAGCAGTGACACATCATCACTGCCGGGAGTCCCCTCCCCACGGCCGGGGCCGCCGCGCCACAAGGGCGCAGGTGCCGGGGGCCCGCGGGCACTTCGCCGCCACCGCCGCGCCCGCTCTGCGCCGCTGGTGCCAGGCGGGCCCGGGGGCACGGCCGGTGCTCGGCCCGCCGGCCCCGGCCACCTTCGCAGGTTCCCCCGGGCGGCCGCTGCCGCCTCCGCCGCAGGAGCGCGAGCGGCCCGGCCCCGCCGCCCCCCGCCCGCCACTTACTGCCCGTGTGCACCCAGAACGGCACCGTCCCGTCCGCCTGCACCAGGTGCGGCCCCTTGAAGCTGTACTTGTACTCAAAGCGGCGATGCGGCGCAGCCGCCGCGCCCTCCGCCTCCTGCGCGGCGGCGAGCGCCGGGCGGGCGAGGGCGAGCAGGAGCAGAAGGATGGCGAGCAGGGGGAGCCGCGCCGCCATCTTGACCGTACGGGACGCCGGGCACGGCCAGCGGGGCGCCGCCTGATTGGCCGAGCGCGGGGGCGGGCACGAGGCGGGGCGGGGCCTCGCCACAGCCCACTGCCCAGGGGGCGGGGCCGGCGCGCGGGGCCGAGGGGCGGGGCCGAGCGGCGGAGTTGGCTGTGAGGGGGCGGTGTGAGGGGGCGGAGAGAGGAGGTGGAGTGAGGGGTTTGGTGAGAGGGGTTCGGTGAGAGGGGGCGGTGTGAGGGGTTCGGTGAGAAGGGTTCGGTGAGAGGGGGCGGTGTGAGGGGGCGGAGTGAGAGGGGTTCGGTGTGAGGGGGCGGAGTGAGGGCGTCGCTGAGGGCCGGGCCGTGGCTGGGCTCCTCCCGCTCGCGCTCCCAGAGCACGGCAGGGTCCCCGTCGCGGTCCCGGTCCCGGTCCCGGTCCCTGTCCCTCCCGGCGGCGGGGCAGCCGGCCTGCCGGCGGTTTCGAGCAGCCCCGGGTGCGGGGGAGCTGCCGGGGGGGCGGCCCCGTCCCGGCCCCTCGGGCCGCGCGCTGTGAGGGCTGTGCGGGCCCGGCGCGTGCCCCGCGGGCAGCTGCGGCTCCGCCGAGCCTGCCGCCGTCCTGCGGCCTCCCGCACTGCGGCCTCCCGCACTGCAGCCTCCCGCACTGCAGCCTCCCGCACTGCAGCCTCCCGCAGGGATCAGCAGTGTGCAGAGTGTCCCAAGGTTAAATAAGCTCTTCCTTCCCCTCAGTATTACTTTCTTAGCAAAGACGCCACTTACACAGGCTCTTTTTCAGTCCATTTTCAGAGTAGTCGGGAAATCCCACAGGAAAAACAACACTTCTCGCGTGAGCAAAGCAAACCCCAGGTACGCCTCGTGCCAGCTGACGGTGGTGACTCGTGGGGAGGGACCCCAACAGTGCCCGGAGAGGGTCAGGCTCGTAAAGGTGAGAAACAGAGATGCTGCACGCAGGTGAGAAGCTGTGTGATGTGCGCGCAGTGTGCAGCATCACAGAGCGGGGCAGGTCTCACTGCAGCCGAGGGGAGGCCACTTGAGCAGAGTGTGCCCCGGTTAAACTGATGACCGAACCAGCAGTTAGAACTTCCTTTTTCATTCTTTCCATTTTCATTTAGCACCCTGTCTTACAGCCTCGTTGCAGAAAACAGTAATTTTTTTTTTTTCAGTTTCTTTACAGCCTTGTGTTTTGTTCTACCTTTTCCTACCCATTTGATTCTGACATCCCTTCTTTTCCTCTTGCTTAATCTGTGAGTATGAGCAATTTAAGACTCAATAAGTAGGTTCAGAGCCTGCTAAAGAAGAGGATGATCTTAGAGGCATTCAGGAGAGATTAAGTTCTTTTTTTAAAATGGCACACATCTTCAGCACGGATGAAAGTAAAACCGTACATATTCACTGTGAAAAGTACATTCTCTTTTTCGGCTACACAAAGGAGTAAGCAAATATGTTGACCAGGTGAGACATGCAAGCAAAATATATCTGAGATAAATTTTAGAAGAACTTATGCATATAAGTTTATTGAGTACTCTTGATAAGTTAATGTTTATTTCTATAGAGAAAGAAGTACTTGATGTTATTTTTTGCATAGTGCGTTCCATCCAGCAATATTCTAAAATATCCCTAATTCATTAATCTGTTTTGGTTTTTTAGAGTACATATGTGAGAGATGTTAAGGGAATTGGGGTGTAATTCTGTCTCCTTTTGGCAGCTATCTAGACACAGAAAACTCAACTGTTTTTCTGTTCTTTAAAGACCTAGAAAGTGGTTTCTGAGGTAAAATTCTGGAACCCTGGAGCAATACAGCGTGCTGCAGTTATTCAGGAGGATAAAACGCTGTATGCGTCAAAGACCCAAACAGAGCAGCATGAGGCCCTATCCTGTCTACTTCATAAGTTTGGCAGTAATCCTGGAATGTATGCCAATAAAACAACAGAACCACGCTGAAAGAGTCTAGAAAACCAAAAGCGCTCACCTTGAAACAAACACCTCTCTTACCCTCTTACCCGCACACAGAAGCAGGTCTGAAATTCTGCCACTTAGAGGCACTAGCATAGAAGCAATGCACGATTTAAGAGAACAGATGGTAAACTGCATAACTTTATGAGGTTGTATTACATTGTCTCAACTTATTAGTGTGTAAAATAGAACATCACGCAGTTGCACAGAACAACTTTTGCACACATCATTTTGGCCGTATATCTCATCAGCTGGCTGATGGGCTGACTGTGCCCCTCTGATGTAATAGTTCATGGTTGTTTCATGATTGTCACAGAGCATGCAAAGCTCCAGAATACTTGACGGCAGGCCATAGTGAAGGAACAGGGTTTCCCAGATCACCATATGCTTCTTTCTTAATTACTGTACTGTCAAAAAGGAAAACTCCACTTAGTTCGTATTATCACCCTGTACTGAATGGTTCCTGTGCACTGCAATAACTATCCCAGTTCAGCTACTCATTCCCCCCAGCTGAAGAAGAAAGTGAAGTAATCAAACTGTTTGTGCATATGTTTATGCACATGCGAACTTGCACGTGTATAAATATATATTTTAAACATACTTTGATTAAGGGGCAGACAGTCTAGGGATATCGAACTTCAAAATATTTGATTTAAAAATCAGCAAATGATGTTTTCTTCAGCTCTTCCCTTTGTGGACCTTCCACTTGGACTGTTTAGCTCTCATGCCCCTTGGCGCCAAGGAGGCTTGATTAATGCCAAGAAGTTTGACCCATACATGTGAACATCTGTGTAACCATGTAGCTGTTCTAGGAAGCCCCCCAGCAGTGCCTGCTGCACCAAAGGTCTTCATTAAAGCCCATGTTGGTTGCAATGCCTACTGTCAAGATCTCTGTCATCCCTCTGTGATAACTCCTAGGGACCTAGTAAGCATCTAACCAGGGACAAAGGTGAGATAGCTCAGGAGCAGCTAGAGACAAATCTCAAGTGTTTGGGATCTCTAGAATTGGTTTTCAAACTGATTAGCTTTATTCCATGTAACTAACAATGTCAGTCTAGTGGTACAACAAAATCAGTGTTTTTAGAAGACTTCTCTCATTCAAATACCTTTGTTCTCCTGTTGGGTGAGAGAAACAAATCACAGCTGCTACAATCCAGTAGCTTAGCATTCTTTTAGATGGCAAAGTATTCTCTTTCTGCTGCTCTTCTCCTCTTGCCTACCAACACAAAGGAAGAGTAGAGGACACATCACTAGACTGAGAGATAAAGATCATTGTTGACTTCCTCTGGGGAATCTGTGTCAGGCCCCTCTCTGGCCACCAGGCACCATGATCAACATTTCTCTCTGTCTTTTCAGCACCCTTCTAATGTTTTTGGTCTAATTTCTTATGGTAGTCATGAGGTTCCTCAGTGAATGTGAGGGTCCGGCTCACGTTTCTGAAGTGACCCTTCTCCAAAGTGTATCCTACAGAGCATCATCTTTTCTCATGATTTCTATTTATCAAATTGGTGAAGGGTAGGTGTGTTTTGAGACATTTTGAGCAATATTTCAACAAACCAACCCCCTTTCATCTCTAATCCAAGACGTCTGGAAGTAATAATTTTTCTTTTTAGAATAATAGAATCATTAAGGTTGGAAAAGACCTCCAAGATCATCAAGTCCAACCTTTAAAAAAACCTTATTTTTTGGACTAAAGAATTTCTCAAAATGTACCACAATTTTAAAGAGACAATTAATATTCTGACCCCAGTTTTTACTTTTTAAATTTCCCTGTTGCAGTCTTGAGGATTCTCCCTTGTTCCTCCTCCTAATCCAGAAATCTCTGTATGAAGTGTATTACTTAATTTCAATTACAATGTTAATTACAGAAGACAAGTGGTTACTGAATCTTGCACCATAATTAATCAACCTGATATTTACTTACTACATTGTTCATACTGGATTAAGCTGTAGCTGGACAAGCAGGGCAAGGAAAGTGAGTGACAGGAGCATTATCACGGCACACTGCCTCCCATTGGGAAAGTTCATCTTCCTTCTGAAAGAGACGCCTTCAGGGATCATGTAATTTGAATTCCCTGTGAATTTAGTGTCATCTTAGCTTGACCAGCTCTGGAAGAACATATTAACCTCCTCTTGTGATTTTCAGAAAACCATTCTAATTTAGCAAGTAATTAAGGGTCACATGTAGGATAAAGAGCTAGATAAGCTTGGATTACGCACAGGAAGCTTTGTTTCCAAGGCAACCCTAGCAGAGGGGGTGTTAATGCTGAGGTCAGTCAGTTAATGAACTGGGAATGGTTACTGGCTGCAAAATGTATTAGAGCTGGGGAAATGAAACTAACAATTGCATTACCATTTAATGATTTGATGATAGAAAACAAATGCCTACAGAGCTAGTTATCACTGAAAATACTGGAGACAAAGGTTACAGGCAGTGGGACCGTTCTGCTAAGTGAGGTCATGAGAAGTCCAAAACAATGACGCCTGACAAACCAAAAATACTTTAGTCATCATTCACGGCTTTCACGGCTCCCCAGTGTGAAGCTGTCAATGTTTGCGTAAGCTGCCGGTGCTAACACACGCACCCTTGTGCTGGGCGTTGGGTTCTGTCTGAGTTAGTCCTGCCCGAGGTCACTACCTGTGTAACAATGTCAGAATGAAATCGGCCGGGTGGATTTAGCACACTGAAAAGCAAGATACGAGGCTTCCAAGAGCTCAGGATGTAACACACCCTCTCCTAGGGCTTTAGGCTCTGGGAGCTAATCTCACGGGAGATTTGACAGGGCAAACACACAAATACCGTGGACATGCATAAAATGTCCAAGCAGCTCATCTGCAGCAAACAGAGATGGATTTATTAAAACATGGTAATATTTAAAAAACGGAATCTTACTTTTTTTTTTTTTTTTGTATGATATAAGGAACATTTGTGAATCGGATTACTGTGCTATAAGGCAGCAGAACAGAATATTGTAGAGTACAAAGAGTAGGAAAGACCCATTAGATATCTAATGCTTTCTCAGTTCACTTGTACCTTAGCTATCCTTTGTGGTCTGTGAGAGAAAGAATTGCCCAGACATTTTTCAAAGCTTTCTTTAAGACAAACAAGCATTCTCTGCTTTTTGTGACAGTCAGATGACACTGGTGTCACAGAATATTCTGTAGCAGTTGGGTCATTCTTGCCTCAGGGATACAGGCACCTCTAACTTGGTGCTGTGCTTTTTGGAAGTAGGTGTCCCTTGTGGATATATAAATTAGGACTGTTTTAGATGCCACCTTATGTCTGTTTTTCTTATGTGCAGCCTTGGCATAAAAGCAGGTGATTTTGTGTTAGACTACGTGCTTGCACTGAGGGACTTTAAATGGTCTGCTCTCTCTAAAATGCCCTGTAGGACTTTGAATATGAAATCAGACTGTGCTGGAGGTGAGCTGACAGCTGTGTGGGACAGATTGAGACAGCAGCTGGACCAAAGGAGTCTGCAATGAGTGTTAGGTGTACTCTTGCTCATGGAAAAGTGTTATTAAAATGGAATGAGGAGAGATGTGGAACAATCTGTCAGGAAAGGCAGGCTTCCTCCATTGGCAGAGATCAGATTAAGGAAAGCACAACACAGCCAATCAAATGTGAAAATTAAGCCCGTCACAAAACTGAAAACCAAGCAACAAACAAAGACACCAACCCAAAACAACAAACCAGGCAAACAAACCAACCAACCCCCAAAGCCCCAGGAAGGGAAATTACCTTCTGTGCCCACAGGTAGCCAGGGAAAAAAAGAAAAGTGATGGCCTTAAATAAGTGATGGCTTTAAACAGTGACAAGGAGAATTTATGCACCATATTAGTGGATCTTTTGCTTTTGTTCCAAGTGCTGAGTACCTGGAGAAAGTGCCACAAGGCCACAGCATCTCTCCACAAGAGTTTTGAGGAGCTCCTGTGCTGCTGTGTTGGTGTGGTACTGGGCAGGTCAGATCATCTCCCACAATTTCTTTCCTTCCCTTCCCACCTGCTTCCCATGACAGCCATTGCTCTGTTTTATTCTTCATATTTCCCACTCCCAGCCTAAAGAAATCTAAATAGTGTTTAAATCCCCAAGTGTTTTTACCACTACGGTTAAAGGACTTGAGTAGTGTTGGGAGCAGTGATTTGTCTGCCTGTGAAAATGCTGTACAGAGAGGGACAAAGAGCAGAATTTTTCTGGTTAGTTCAATGCAAAGAATCAAAAATGACTAAAAGTCTGAAGTAACTAAAAAGTTTATCTGGAGCTTGGAAAATCCAACAATCATGCTGGGTCTGTGGTTTCCCCAGTCTGACTAACAGCAAAGTTTTGAGAGTGAAGTGTCCTGCTTCAAAGAGCACAGCGAGGCTGTTCTGCTGCAGAACACATCCCATGGCATCCCTCCAGGCTGGGAGTTGTCCTGGGGTGTGTTACTGCAGTGCAGACACCTGCTGAGCAAGCCCCAGGAAAGCTTCCAGCTGTGCCAAAACTCGCTTGGACGTTCTCTGAGGTGAATTTATCTTGGTATAGAACAAATGGAAATACCCTGCCTGACTTAACAGAACTTGATCTTTAAAGGAATTTTGGTAGTTTTCTGCTCTAAGTCATACTAGTGTGTTTATGCAGTCTCAGAATCCCAACACCACTGGAAAATTTAGATATAGAGAAAGCATTTAGCTTAACCTGATTTAGCTGAACCTGGTTTTATTCAGCGTTTGATCTGGCATATGTACCAGCCAAAATGTTACCGAGGGTAACAAATAAACCCTGGGATTAATTCAGACACTCCACAAATTAAGTGGTGGGAAATGCACCAGCCGGTTATGCTGAAGCTTTGTAGCTTCCATACAGCTCTTGGTTGGTATTCAGCAAGCTCTTGACTTCTTAAATGATTCCAGCTACCTTGGTTTTTTCACTTTTCTTAAGTGACATTCCACAGTAAAGGAAGTAAATGCTTTTCACTGTGCAGACAGCATTATGTTCATATGTGCTCCATTCCCCAGATAAATAGCAGGGTGGTTAAACAAATGACAATAATATGAGATAAAGACAAGGCACATCTCTCTCTGACACTGATTCATGGATGCCATCACAGATAAATATTTTTGGGGAGAAACAACTTGCTACTTATTATTCCTGGATCAAGACTAAAATCTTAGAAGTAATGAGTGGTCATCAGTTAATAAAGGGCATCGTGCTTTCTACAGCTCCCTTAGTACAAGAGGCTAGATTTCAAATGGATGCATAAACTGGGTAGCTAAATCCACTGAATGAACTGCTGAGAACTTAACATGCTTGGGAGAATCAAATGACATAATCCAAATATGGCCTGTGGAAGCCTCACGGCAGCAATTACTATTTTGATAGTTTCATTTTTCATAGATGTCTCCTCTCTCTCGTGACCAGAGACAGGACATGAGGAGATGGAATGAAGCTGCACCAGGGGAAGTTCAGATGGGATGTTAGTAAAAGATTCTTCACTGGAAGGCTAGTGGGTCACTGAACCAAGCTCTGCAGGGAAGTGATCACAGCTCCAAGCCTGTCAGAGTTCAAGGAGCATCTGGATGACACTGTTAGCCATATAGTTTAGTTGTAATAGTCCTTTAAGGAGCAGGGAGACTCAATGATCCATATGTGTCCCTTACAGCTTTAGATATTCTCTGTCTCCTACTTACCTCCTTTTATGTTTTACTCAGCTCTAGGGCTGCAGTGACAACATTCAGACAGCTCTTCCCTGATTTTATCAAGCATTTTAAGAATTGAACATCCTCACTTTCCTCTTCAGTGAGAGACAACGTGCCCTTCTGTGGCACTGAATGGCTATTTTTTAGTTGAATTTTATTAAAAGGAACAATTGACCCATTCATGTTTATTTCGAGCAGGGATGAGCTGAATGGATTTAAAAACATCTAAACCTCTTTGAACATTAGGAATTGTCAAATTTAGGATCTTTTCAATCAAATGACCCAGAAGTGAACCATGAAAAACATGGAAGCATCCCTACCTTTGAACTTTGGCTTCTTGAGTGCAGCCTCTGGGCGAGCTGCTCATGTGATCCTCAGCACAGCACAGCTTGAACTGCCCCATTTTTTCACTGCTGCCTCTCTTCTGGCTACGTGACAAATCCCTTTCACCTTCAGATGTCTTCCCCAGACTTTGAGCCTTGCCTCTNTGCTACACTTCTGTTCTCTCACTTGTTTTATCTCCCCTCCCTTCGTTTACTTATTTGCTTTCTCTGGTAAATTTATTCCTCTGCTGACAATAGACCTTTCCTCAGCAGCTGCACGTGTTTCCAGGTTCTTAATTGTTTCTTTAATGCAACACAAGTCCCAGTCTCAATGGGGAGGACAATATAGGGAACGATCCCTAAAGCATCGGTCGATGAACAGAGAACCTTCCAGATCATTTTCAGTGCAAGCACAGGCACTGCACACCTTTCTGCTTTAGTTTTGGTGTGCGAGCAGGAAGAAGTTCCCAGTGATTCTGGTACCCAGAGGAATAACTAGTTGGATAAAAGTCCCCTTCAATTTAGTTTTATTGAGAATAGCAGTCTGAAATACAAGGAAGAAATGTGTAGAACTCTTGGGAAAACAGACACACCCACAGGTGTACCCACACGATCCTGGTCAGCCGACTGGCCAGCTCCAAGCACACCCCTTGTGCCTTTTCTCTTCACATGAAGTTTCTAAAAGGGCTTACCTATTAAACAATGCCTCAAGTCAATTTTTGCTGAACTAACATTTCCGGAGTGATTGATATTGAGGAAGAGCCGTTTTCAGACTCTATGAGACAAAGCAGCAGGAAGGAGGACAGGGAAAGACATGGAAGTTTTGCTTACCAGCCTCTCTTCTGCTGCTTGCTTTCTCTGGGGACATTATTGGTGCCAGTAGTGGTGGTGGAGTGGCTTTGGTGCTTCCCACTTTCCACACAAGTTGCTGCACCACAGAGGATACACTGCCATCTGCTACCTCTCATGCAGGGATAGCTGCCAAATTCCCTCTGGAATCAAAGATTCCAGATTATCGTCCACTGATGGTAGGAGCCACTCACTCAGGCTCACAGGTGAGATGGCCTGAAAATGCATTCAGGAACAACTCCCAGCAGACCCAAAAGATGCTTCTGCTCTAGCAATGTGCAACACTAATTTAATTACAAATGTGATTTTGCCTTTGGCACATGACATCTACTCCATGCACTTTGCAACCATTAAACTACTCTCCACCTCTGCAGGAGAAGGTAGGATTTCCAGATCCAAACCTGTCGATAAGAGCAAGTGGTTTAAGGCACCTTTGGTCCCCTCATTAGCAGCATCTGATGAGATCTGCTGTCCCGTGGGCTGGGTCAGTGGTTCCCACCTTTCGCACTCCTCAGGGTGGTAGGGCTGCATTCATGTGCTGCATATGCCCCCAAACTGCAGCTGATGGAGCAGCAACCAGGCATTGAAGCCATCACTCACCAAGACTAGGAACAGTGGAGCTGAGGAAGGATCCCAGCCCTCCTGCTTCTGTTCCTTAAGAACGGGATCACCATCACCTTCAGAAAATGAAGGTCATTCCTATTTAAATCAGTGCACAGTTGGCCATGGTCATTAGAAGGGAGAGGGGCTGGGAAGCACCTTTCTCAACAGCGGCAAGGCAAAAAAGAAACAGGAGCAGGAAGTGGAAAGGGGGTAGAAAGTGTTTAAGGATTGCATCTTGGCATGCACAGCGTGCATTTTCACAACTCATGTCCCACCGGTCTGCGGTAAACCAGAAGCTGTTAATACATGGGACACAAAGGAAACCCGAGGGACTCCCTCCTGCGAGCATTCCCTGAGAACACAGCAGGCCACAGGGACAAGAGCACAGGTCTCTGCAGGCACGATCCTGCCGTGGAAAACACAGGAACATTTTCAAATGCACGAATGGCAAAAGAAAAAAAAAAAAAAAGATACTTGCTCAATTAGCCTTAAGGGGTCCAAGTTTTTTTCAGCTTTGCCTCTTTTTGGACTCCTCAAAGCAAGGAACTCCGTTGCCCATTTCACAGATGGATGGCCCTGGGAACAGGTTTGGAGGAATTAGTTGTAACTTTGTTCACTAGGAGGTTTCTTTCTGCCAGCCTGCAAGAAATCCCTCGTTTTCATGACAACCAAAACAAAAACAAGTGACCATGCATTAAAGTGAAAAGAATCCCATTTAGAATGTGAATAGAGCTACAAATTACCAGGCATAAGCACATACCCAAGGAACTGGCTGTTTGTAAACTAGCTGGTTTTTCTAACTGAGGTTATACACAGGCAAAAAAAAAGAAAAAGAACAGAAAACATAACAACAACAACAACCACAAAAAAAAAAAAAAACCAACCAACCAAAAACCAGAAGAAAGGGGAAAAAAAAAAAAAAAAAAACCAACCAACCAAAAACCAGAAGAAAGGGGAAAAGGGGGAGCCCTGGTACTTTGTTCCTCTTCTACATAAATAGATCATAGGAGTTGCAGTGATAAGTACACTGTGGTTTTGAGCTGACTGCAGGAGTTTGAGCTCCACTTTCCTCTTTTTGTCCAATAGGAAGCTGCTTAGCTGAGGCATTTTGAAGGATTTAGAGAATTGTCTGGTGGTACTGAGCCCGTGACAGGAGAGTACGAACATATCATCATTGGGCAGCTTATTCCTGGAGCCCCAAAGGTATCTCTTACTTGTGAAAACAGAGGCTTACGGCTGCCGAAAAAGCATTCTGTGTCTACGTGTCTGCCTAGACTATACATAAACAAATTCAGAAACGGCAGGAGACTGTGTTTAGGTATTTGCAGCATCACTTCCAGAAAGCTTGCAGAATTATTTCTGTGTCTTGCGAGGTGACATCAGCAACAGAGCAGGTACTTTTTGTACTCTCCTTTAGGGCTCAGAACACTTTCAGTAGTGGAGAACTTCAGAATGGGTCTAGCAATGCGGGAGCCAGTATCAGCCCACCTGCGGGATACATGTGAAATGCAGAGTATCTGACGTCACGCAAAACCTTCTTTAGGAACTGCACTTGGGTATGGCAAAACCGGGAGCTCTGGATCCAGCTGTAGTAGCAGCAGGTTTAACGCTGTATACTCTGATGACAGTACTTTGAATAAGATAGCAAAAAAAAATAGTAAACCCACGCTTTTCTTCTTGGGGTTCAAAACATTCAGGATATTTCCATATCCGTGTTGTTATTAAAAATGTTGTCAAACCTATTAATTACACATCCAAATTGAGTATATTAAGAACATTTTCAAAACACAAAATTGCCAACAGACCGAGCATTTAAACAGTTTTAAAGGTAACGCTTTACAGATCTATTTTTTAATACAAGCCCATTTGTTAACAATAGGCTGATTCAGAAGTGTCTCCCTGAGTAGCTGTTCCTGCTTTCCCGGGAATCAAGGCTGCGTGTTACGGTGGGGAAGGTGAATACCAGGCAGCGGTGGGGAAGCGCTCAGGGCTCCGGGGGATTTCTAACCTGCTTCTGCCTCAGTTTAAAAGCAAAGGTATTAAATTACTTCGGACTGGAAAGCTGTCCAGCCTAGTCTAATCTGCAGGGCTTTAGTTTGGCAGGGCGCAGGCTGCAGTGGCTGCTGGCGATGCCCATCCAGCGCAGCCGTGTGGCATGGCAGGAGTCTGTAAGTCATCCCGCCAGGTACTGGTGTGCACTGGCACACCCTGAGGTGCCAAGGATGCCGGACGAAGTGCTGGGCGTTAATTTATTCCTGGTATTGCCCCTTCTCTCACCGAACTGAAATCCTTACAGCCAGTTACTAAATTCAGTCATTTCCCTTCTCGGCTGCGTTTATGCCAACACGAAGGCATGTATGTGTTTGTGCACGCATTCTTATGGGACTTGTTTTGGTGTGGGGTTTTTCAGGTAGGTTGGTTGGTCTTGGTGGGGTTTTTATTTGTTGGGTTTTGTTGTTTTTTTTTTTCTAAGCCCTCATTAACTCCACTCACGCTGTCTTACTCTGTTTGCCACTGCTTAAGTAGTGCTTTTTTAAAAAAGCAACCAATTAGCACCTCATCAGCTTCAATTAGAGGAGACAAAAGCAGTGTAAAGATAACTCAATGAGAGGGGGTGGCACAACATCATGTAATCGCTTAAGACAGCGGTGAGCATTCACTGTGCTGGCTCTGCCGGGCCTATTCACCTTTTTTTTCTTCTTTCTGGATGCATTTAAGACCTCCTTTTTTTTTCCTTCTTTTTTTTCTTTTTTTTTTTTTTTTTCTGGGAAGCCGGGCCTCCCAGGAGTCTCAGAGTCTCTCATTCAGGGCTACCTGTTTACAGCTCACCGAACAGAAGGACCTAAACAATCCTATATTGTACGCCTAGTGCTTCCTTAAACTTAGGCCTCCACAATGGCATGTTTTCAGAAGCTGGGCAGAATAAGTTAAAGGCTGGCTTTATACTCATTAAGTGTTCTGCTTGTACTGTCTTCTAATTACATGGCAGGGCAACAATGTATTTTTTTTTCTAATGGAGTTCTTTGGAGCAGTTAATTTGGTGCCTGTACTAAATGCCCCAAAACATTAATTAGTGTGGAAGGAACCCTAATTTCCTCAGCGGCTTTCCTCTCCATTTACTTCCCTTGTTTTCACATAGGCTTGGATGAGCCTCTATAATGAAATTACCTCATTAATGCCTTTATTCTTGCAGAGTAACTCATTCAAGATCTACCATTTAGTTTTAATTTAATGCTGTCAAAAGCAAAAGGTGCATTCATGTCTTTGATTAGTGCATTTTTTTCTCTCTAAAGAGTGGACAGATTTAAATTATTAAGATGGCAAGTAGTGAGTTATAATTGGATACAAGCAGCACTTCAGTGAATATTAAATGCTTTCAAAGCCTGGCCTATGTGGTCTGCTGACTATTAACTGTGTCCAGTGAGTTATTCTGTGGGGTTTGAATTAACGGCGCATTAGCTACTGTGAAGCAAATTGTTTAATTTTGTTTATAAAAAACGGTGAAGTTGCATTTATCAACATGACATTTAGTTGTAGCAGAGTTCAGTTTTCCCCATTATCCTATACTGACCTCATTGCTTGGTTAGTACTGCTAACACGGGGTCTCCTTCTGTACTCCACACTCTTGCAAAGTCTAACTGGAGACTTGCCTATGTATGGCCAGTAGGGTAAGACCTTTATTTGCAGGAACTACAGAGTTCTAAATGTTGTCAAGCAGGAACCACCTGCATTTGACTACACTGATCATGGAGTACAGTGGCACAAAGGTGTCTATGATTTGTGGGGCATGCACAGTTACAGACTTGGTACCAGCAACTGAAGGGGCAGGAGGTAACATCTGATCCTTGATCTTTAGTTGTCTCTCTTCTCCCTCTTTTCCTTTGCAACTCATGTCATAAGATACCCGAGATGTGTCAGAGAAACCTGCATGTCAGAAGACTTAAGCAGCCTGTAGTCTGCTTGGCACATGCAGTTTATTATTAACTAATTATAGTTTATTGTGTGGCTGCAGTGCTACCAGAGGTCAAAAGTCAGAGTCACATCCTTGGGCCAGGAGCTCTGTAGGGCTGTGCAACCACTGTGCAAAGCAGCCAGTCACACCAGTGTGTCACAGCCTTGTCCCGTTGCCCGGGGCCTTTCAGTTTTGAGCATCTCCAAGGATGGAGATCCCACAACCCCTCTGGGCTTCTGTTCCAGTGGGTACCCACCTGCATAGTGATGTTTTCCTTTAGTAATTGTTAGGAAATTATTATCTTTTCAATGCAGTCATTAAATGTGATAGGATAACTTGAATTGATAATATTTTAAAAATAACATGAAGTATAAGTTTATTATAATGTATTACATATATTTATTATAAGTGTTTGACATATTTAGTGCATATTACACAGAACACACGTGCAATATATTATACATCTATTATGATTGCAATGACAAGCGACACACAGGGCAGTGTTGTTTATCTTAGTAATCTTTCCCATCTCTGCTGTAAAAGTGTCTTGCTTTTGGATTCATTTCTCCTCCCAGCACGAGCAGGAGCAAACCCTTCCACTTATTTGTTCCCCAGCGGAGCGAGGTCCTGGGAGCTCTTGAGCGATTTCTCCTGCGGTGTCTCACTGCCCTCTCGTGGCTGAAGGATGCATGTGCACGTCACCGCGCTGAGTATCTCGTCTGCCTCATGGTGCTGCATTAAATTCCCAGTCAGAATGTTACGGCCGGCATAATCTCCTTTAATTCCTGCCGGCCTGGAATACTCGGTTAACTTTCCTTTTTTAGCTCCAGTTATCTGCACAAACCCAGAGGAGCTCCTTGGCCTGAAGAGCTGCCCGACGGAGCGCATGGAGCCTGGCACCAGCCAGGCTGGAATGAGTCCCCGAGAGTCCAGCTGCGCTCTGGAGAAGAGAAATAGAGAGCTGCGGGAGGCCAGAGCAAGTTCTGAGGGTAAACTTGCAATAGTTTATAGGGTTGAGATTGAACATATTTAGGCATCAAGGTGATCAGAGGTGGAGAGGTAGGGAAATTTTGGAGGTTAAATCTGGGGCAACCTGTAGCAGAGAGAATGAAAATGTTGTGTTAAAACAGAGGTAATCAGGAGTGGGCTGGAAGGGAAAGTTGTGGGGGTGAGATAGGAGAGAGTATCCATGGCAGAGAATGACTATTTGGAGGTGAAACTGAGGGAATCAGCAGTGGATACAGGGAGGGAA